ATCCCCAAGCTCCGCCCAGCGTCATGCAGCTTTCCCAGGGATGGTCCAGTTGACGATCAGGAATTTTTTGTTCTGGTGTCTGATAGTTCTCATAAGGTCCATGAACGGTCCTGTCTACCATTAAAATACCAGGTTGTGCTTTTCTGGCCATGCGGGCTATTTTAGGCATATCAATATCCTGGCTCCATTTTGGAATATCTGCCCCCCAGGAGCGTACTTCTTCATTCACAGTTTCTAAAGGTCTGACCCAGCCGCCATCAAGCCATAAAATATCAATACCGCCATAGCGGGTCATCAATTCTTCCAGCTGATTATAGGCAAAACCTTTAAACTTGTTCCATCTCCATGGATTTTTCTGAATATCATAGTTGTTATTCCGGTTGGGCGTGGCGTATTTAGACCACCAATAATATTCAGAATGCCAGTCGGGCTTAGAAAAATAAGCACCGATCATGAAGCCTTCTTTTCTAAAAGAATTAAATACGTATTTGGCCACATCTGCTTTCGGATTTTTTGCAAAAGGGCCTTTAGCAATACTAAAATCAGACTCCTTTGTATCAAACATGGCGAAACCATCATGATGTTTGGTAGTAAAAACAAGATACTTCATCCCTGCACTTTTACCCGCTTTTGCCCATTGTTCCGGATTAAAGTGTACCGGGTTAAAAGCTTTACTCAATCCCCAGTACCACTTTTTATAATCGTCATAAGTCTTCGTACTGTCACGTTCTATCCAGTCTTCTGAACAAAGCGTCCAGGATTCTATGATACCAGGTACAGCATATAATCCCCAGTGAATTATCATCCCAAATTTCTGATCCTGCCATTTGTCAAGTTTCTTTTTAACCAGCGGATCGGTTGGCGCTTCATAAACGGTTGATTGCTGATGAACACCATTTTCCTGTGCTGCTAATTTGCCAGCAACACAAATCAGCAGCGCTGCAATTATAATTTGTTTCTTCATTAGGATCGGATTTGTTGAACTGATTTATCTTCTGAATATAAAAATGTCCCGGCTAAAACAACTAACCGGGACAAGATATTAATTAAAAATGCTATAGCTTACGGTTGCCAGAAGATCTTGGTTTTACGCGTATCCTTAGCTTGAACAGCCTGATAATTTGCCGCATTCAGAATCTTTTCTTTACCTGGATAGATTAACCTGTTTGGAGGAGTATCAAAACCAGACAGTTTACCATCCGCAGGGAAAGTCAAAACAGGAAAACCAGTTCTTCTGTATTCAGACCAGGCTTCTGCAGATTGAAGTACCCCTAAATGCGCCCATTTCTGGGTATAGATATTAGCAAGTTTATTTGCAGAAGTACCTGTATAAGCAGCTGAAGATGTATTCACCCAGGTATCTATAGCAGCAGCGTCAGGAACCGGAACATTCACATATCCACCACCCTGGTTTAAGTTATTCAGGTAATAATAAAAGGTAACAGATTGTCTTAAGGCATTTCCATACGCAGTTTGCGCACTGGCTGAACTACCCCATCTTTCAAAAGCTTCTGCTTTCAAAAGATTCACTTCAGAAGCAGTGATCACAATACCTGGTAATTTTTGATTGAATAGGAAAGTTGCAGAGTCAAGTACTGAATAATCCGCAAATTTAGTTTCCTGATCTGATGCAATCATTGTAACCGGCATCGCTTTATAAGTTGCATTGGGTACAAACTTACCATTCACTGTTCTGCCGTATTTATCATAAATAACCGGAATACGTGGGTCATTAGCTGGCAACATCACCGTATTTAACATGTAATCAGTAGCATACCAGCTGCCTTCCATAAAAGCGGCACTCAAATCACTGGTGCTATTGGTTAAAGGTTGTAATAAAACATCTGATAAACCTGGGGTGTAAGAAGGATTATTTCCACCATCGATCAATGGAAAAGCAGCTGGATTATTCAACATATCCAATACTGCTGTTCTGGCTGTTCCTTCATCAACTTTTGAAATACGCATCAGTAATCTTAAGCGTAAAGAATTTGCATAACGTGCCCATAGATTAACATCACCTTTTAGCAAAATATCTGCTTTAGAAAAATCCTTATTGGTCGGATTTGCTTTGAAGTAAGCACCAGCAGTTGCCAGATCAGCGATGAAGCTGGTATATAACGCTTTTTGCTCATCAAATTTAGGATTTACAATGGTACTGCTTGTTTCCAGACTCCCTGTTTCACTATAAGGAATATCTCCCCATAAATCTACCATTTTTGCTGCCTGCTCTATCAATACAACCTTTGCAGCCTGCATAATTATAGCCTGAGTCGCTTTTTCCGTGTCCGAAAGTGTTTTGAATTTGACTTCCATAGAACGGTATTGCGCCATACTTCCGCTACCATTACCACCTGTAGCATAAAAATCATCCCAATAGTTTTGAGAATAACCATCATTTTGCTGATAAACTGAATTTGAATTCGGGAAATAAGAGGTTTGTGCATATACGCCAGGCATCTGACATAAAAAAGTACGCACATTCCAATATTTCGCTGCAACTCTGTCATTGTTTAACATCGCTGTAAAAAGGCCGGAAACACTAGCATCCTTCGCTTTCTCCGGGTTATAGAATTTTTCTTCAATTGCTTTTTTGCAACTCACTAATGACGTCGCTGCAACTAAAACAAAGCTTATATTTATAATTAATTTTTTCATCTGTCTGAATTTATTTTTATCGGTTATGAAGCTATCATCTGCTACTCAATTCAGTTCATTTAGGTTTCTGTTTTGCTGCAAATGATGGTTTCATCTGTATCGGGATTAATGCGATTAGAAATTCGCGCTTATAGAAAAACCATAATTTCTTGATGCAGCTGTTGAACCCACATCTACTCCTTGTGACCACCATTTATTTCCTAGTGGCGCCTCAGGATCCAAATCTTTCAGGGTACGCCAGATATAGAATAAATTACGGCCAATCAATGAAACTCTCAGGTTGGTGATTTTAAGTTTACTGGTAAATGAAGCTGGCAATTTGTAGCTTAATACCACTTCTCTCATTTTGATAAAACTGTTATCAAAAATTTCTGCGTCTGTTAAGGAACCTTCTCCCCAATTATAAGTGTTGATGTAATAATCAGCAGCAGAAATAACTTTGGTATTTGGTAAGCCTGTAGTCTGGTTTACACCTTGTAATAGGACACCATCGTTATACGTTTTACCATTACTGGTGTAAGCAATTCCACCGTGTTCAGCATCTCTGAATTCCATAGAGTTTTCCAGCATACCTGCTCCGCGCATATACTTAAGATTTGGAGCCAGCATCTTTCCGCCGAAACGGCCATCTATAGTAAAATCTAAAGAGAAGTTACCATAGCTGAAGGTGTTAGAAAAACCACCAACAACTTTCGGCATAATGTTCCCTGCTTTAACATAAGTACTGTTATCCATCACATACAAACCATCAGCATTGATGATATAATTGCCTTTGGAATCTGTTGCTCTTGGGCGTACATAGATATTACCTAATTCTTCTCCGGCTTTAGCTACAATTTTAGCAGTTGCCTGATCTGAAGAATAGAAATTCAACTCTGACATGCCTTCCATTAATGAAATCACACGCGATTTATTAGAGGAGAAATTTAAACGTGTGTCCCAACGGAATTTACCAGCTTTAACAGGTGTTGCATTTAAAGCAACCTCGAATCCTTTACTCCCAATCTCACCCACGTTTACAATCTGACTGGTTGCACCAGCGGTTGAGCTTACTTGTAGTGGTACAATCTGGTTTTTAACACGGTTGTTATAGTAACTCACGTCTAAACCAAGACGTCCTTCTAAAAAGCGGGTTTCCAGACCAAATTCAGCTTCGTGTTTCTTTTCTGGCATTAAAGTATTATTACCATAAGCATTAGCAGTTACTAAGGACGGAACTGAACCGTTTATAGTCTGAAGAGAAGTTTGTGTATAAACAATATTTGATTCATATAACGGTGGCGCATTACCAACCACACCATAAGAAGCTCTTAATTTACCATAATTCCAGAAGCTTGGTAGTTTAACAACATCACTGAAAACAAAACCACCATTCAATGAATAGTAAGAATATTTGTTATTCTGCGGAGGCAATGTAGATGCATATTCCTGACGCGCAGTTCCTTCTAAGAACAAGAAATCTTTATAGCTTAAATTTAAGATTCCAAGGTAAGCGTATTTAGATTGTTGTTTCCTCGTGTCAGAAGTTTCAGGAACACTGAATGAGTTACTTATCGCAAACCAGTTTCTTGAAACCAGTCCATCTTTCGTATTTGATTGCTGATCTTTATAAGTTTCATTTCTACCCTGGTAACCTCCACTTACTGACAGATTCAGGTCTTTACCAATTTTGTTGGAGTAAGTTAATAAAGCGTCCCCGTATAAAACTGCATACTGTCCTTGCGTAGTTGTGTATCCACCAGTACTGGTATTTCCATTTAATGCGATTGGAACTTCAGTAAATTGACGGTTTTCTGTTCTTGCACCCGTATAGTCATTACCAATACGTCCTCTGAATTTCAGGTTTTTAGCGATGTCATAGTTTAAAGTAAAACTTGATAGTAACCTGTTTTCATTTTCAACGTACTCGTTTTTCAATTGCTGCCAGTAGAAATCCAGTAAATTAGTCGCTCTGATATTGTAAATGAATGGCTCCGGGCGATCCAGTTGGTTGAACTGCGCATATTTATACCCGTCACTTGTCTGGAATTTTTCTTTCATCAGGTTCATATCTTCAGCACGGCTGAAGAAACCACTGAATGAGCCTAAAACCTGACCTAATTGATAAGGTCTGTTTTTTGTGATGGTATTTACATAACTCACAATTACATCTGCGGAAAGTTTTGGCGCAAGTTTAATCGTAGAGTTTAAGTTGAAAGAGTTCTTTGACCCTGTGTTCCCTGGCTGTGTACCTTTATAATCCAGGCGTGATGCTGAGAAACGGTAATTGATAGCTTCGCTTTGGTTAGAGATAGCCACGTTTGCGTTTGAGGTATAACCTGTTTGATAAACATCTTTGTAATTATCAGGTTGCGGAGAATAAGAACGGATCGAACCATCCCACCATTTTACCTGCTGACCTTCCATTTTAGGGCCAAAGTTTGCATAAGCTCTGAAATATGGTCTTAATCCTGTTGGTGAATCCGCATCTACATTCCAGCCATCTTCACGGCCGACATTGGCTAAGTTAGTTGCCCTGTCATAACCCGGGCCGTATACATTTTGGAAATTTGGCAGAAAAGCAACCTGATCAACTGATCCCTGGTAATTAAAATCAATTCCAAGACCTTTACCTTTTGTTCCTTTTTTAGTGGTAATTACAACTACCCCACTTCCAGCATCCGAACCATATAAAGCAGAAGCACTCGCTCCTTTTAAAATAGTCAGACTTTCAATATCGGCAGGATTGATATCTAAAATACCGTTTCCTCTGATACGCTGATCTCCCCAATAATCATTGTT